TGGCTTGCAATAGCAGCTGAGAGAGAGAGACAGCTGATTCCGTTTGACAGCTCCTTTTATACCGGAGCTGTCAACCGGTCCAGCCAATCAGGGACTTTCCCGGCTCCCACTTAAACAGCGGACCAGAGTGAGGACTTGCTGGATGTAACACTCCTCCCCCCGGCTCTGCGCAAGCATAATCGCTCAGATGGGCGGGGCGACGCCTCACTTGCTCTGAGTGCCTTAGTTCTGCCATAGGCTGTGATGTGGAAGGACCTGCTGCTGGGCTGGCGTTCTCCCCTCGGGGTGGTGTCGACTCTCTTCTCCGGCCATTCTCGGCTGGCCATAGAAGGTCTTCTGGTGTTGCTGGAACCTCTCTGAATGCCGGCAAGCGGTCTCTGGCTGGTGTCGCGGCTTCTCCAGGTACATCTTCCATGAGAGATCGCTGCTATGGGCTGCGGTTTTGCCCCATTCGTAGTCCATTGCCTCAGTTTCCCTCTGGGCTGGACCTGTTGGGGCACTCCAACAGCTTCTTAGTTGGTCCACATGTAGGCACCATAACCGTCTATTCAACAATCTCACCCTGTGGGATTTGGGGCCTGTTTTCTGCTCAACCCACCCAGGCAACCATAAGGGATTCCCTGCATAATTTCGGGAGTAGACCGGGTCCCAGGCCTAAATTCCCTTGTCTTGCTAGACAAGTCGAGGGGCACCCTGGGGGCATAATTAGGGTGCAGCTTGTCTAGGGTTGTCCAGCGTCTCCTTCCCATTAATAGTTTGACAGGCGAGAGGTTGGTGGCTGCACTTGGGGTGGTGTGTTGGGTAAGTAGGTACCAGGCTACCCTGGTAGACCAGTCCCCTTCCGTCATCCTTCCCAGGGAGTCTTTTGCTGATCTTACAGCTCGTTCTGAAAGGCCATTGGAGTCGGGATGAAACAGGGAAACTAGGGCACGTCTGATTCCTCTTTGGACCAGGGATAATTCAAAAGGGGATGAGGTGAATTGGGGCCCGTTATCAGAGACCAGGGTGTCAGGGTACCCAGGGGAAGTGAAAATCTTGTCTAAAGCTCTGCTTACAGCATCTGAAGTGGTTGATTGGAGGAGAATCAGCTCTACCCACTTTGAAAACGCATCTACCACAATTAGGAAGTTTTTCCCTTGTATGGGACCTGCCAGGTGTACTCTACTCCCCAGAAGAGGCAGTTGGTGAGCAGGCCTGGACATCTGGCAGATGGAACAATTCTGAACTTTATTGGTGACTGCCTCATCCAGACCCGGCCACTACACATAGCTCCTGGCCAGAGCCTTGATCCCTGGGTGACCCTCATGCAGAACTTCAATAATGCGTGGTCTTAGTAGTTTGGGAATACTTACTCAGGGATCCCACAATAAACACCCTTTTAGCATGGTCAGTTCGGTTTGGCGTGTTTTGAAAGGGTGGAATTCTACTGTAGTGGTTTCCCTGGGCCACCCCCTTCACACCCAGTCCATGACTTTAGACAGTTGTACATCTCTGCTGGTGGTGTAGGCGATGTCATCAGTTGTCAGAGGCAAGCACAGATCTTCCAGCAGGAACACAGAGGCTGAAGGGGCAGGATCAACAGCCAGAAGGGGCAAAGGGCACTTGCTAAGGGCATCAGCATGAGCTACATCCTTGCCAGGCCTGTAAGTCAACTTATAGCTGTAAGCAGCTAGAAAGATTATCCATCGGGTCATTCTAGGGGAGAGGATTTGTGGGCTGGGCTTGTCCCCTGCCAGGATGCCTAACAAAGGCTGGTGGTCCGTGATGAGCTCAAATTGGTGTCCATATAGGTATTCATGGAACCTTTTGACTGAGGCCACAGCAGCCAATGCCTCTTTATCTATTTGGCTGTAGTTGCACTCAGCCTTTGAGAGAGTCCTAGAAAAATAAGCTATGGGGGCTTCCTGGCCATTAGGTAACTTATGACCTAGGACTGTCCCAATTCCACAAGGGGAAGCATTGCAAACTAGGATAAGGGGGAGAGTATTGCTAAACTGAATGAGGATCTTGGTTGAGGTGAAGAGGGATTTCACTGCAGAGAAAGATGCCTGTTCCTTGGATCCCCAATGCCACTGCGTCTTAGAGTCTAATAGCTTGTGCAATGGTTCTGCTTAAGTGGCCTTTTGGGGCAGGAAGGAGCTGTAGAACTTTAGAAGTCCTAAAAAGGCTTGCAACTCAATCTTGTTCTGAGGAACTGAGGCCACCTGGCTGGCCCATACTTTGGATTCTATAGGATGAATTCCCTTGTGGTCAATATGATAACCAAGGAAATCTATCTGTGAAACTGTGAAGATGCATTTTTTTCCTGTTCAGCCTGTTTAAAACACTGGAAAACTTTTTGTAATCTGTGCAAATGGTCCTGTGAGTTGTCAGCAGCAATGAGGATGTCATTGAAATATGGAATGACATCCTGGATATTGTATAACATATGTTCCATAATGGATTGGAATATGCCAGGGGCGACGCTGACACCGAATTACATATGAAAGCGCCCCCATGCATAATGATTGTTTGGGCCTCAGCAATCTCATTGTCCACTGGGAATTGCTGGTATGCTTGAATCATATCCAGCTTGGTAAAAATGGAGCTTTTTCCCAGGGATGGAGCAGGTGCTGAATGAAAGGGACAGGATAAGCGTTTGGTTGGAGACCCTTGTTTATTGTGGACTTGTAGTCCAAACAAATTATTATGGAGCCATCTTTTTAAAAAGGTATTACAATGGGAGTTTCCCATGTAGAAAAGTCAGGTGGTTCCAAAACCCCTTGCGAAATCAATTTGTCAAACTGGGCATCCACCGTAGCATGTAATGCCAATGGCACTCTGCAAGGTTTGAGGTATAGGCGCAACATTGGGATCCAAGTTAAGGAAAATAGGAGTGCCATTGTAGCATCCCAGTTTGTCACAGAAAAGTTCTGAATAGTCCGCAAGAAGTTACTGCATGTTGTGGGGGGTAACAGCATGTACTCCAGTTACTTGGAGGCCCGGGGAATGGAACCAATCCAATCCCAGTAAGCTAGGTAAGTCCCAGTTATGATAACTGGTGGAAGGTGACCCTGAAAATTGTTGTATTGAATATGGAACTTGCCTGTTCCGAGGACAGGAATGGATTGTCCTTGGTAGTCTTTCAGTGTCAGATTGCAGGGGCTCAGCTGATCCTTGTGGAAGTCTGGTAGCAGGTTCTGTAGTGTCTTCCATGAGATGAGAGATAGAGGTGATCCAGTGTCTACCTCCATCTGACAGGGGTTGCCTTCTAAGAGAAGATCAACATTAATTTTATTAACATTAAAACAATAAGTTGGTGACTCAGCTCTTGGGAATGCTTTGTTGATGGCATAGCATTCCTCTTTGGATTTGAGGTTTCTAGGTTGTCTGAGATGTTGAGTTGGCAGGATTGTGGTTTTAGATGCCTGGCAGATTCTAGCTATGTGGCCTTTCCTCTGGCACTTTAGGCAGACAGCGTTTTGGAAACAGCAAGTGGCTCTCAGATGGCTTCCTCCACAGCTGAGGCAAATCAGCTGTGGTATAAGTTGCTTCTTGTCGGCAGGAAAACCTTTTCTCTGCGTCGGCTGGGGTCCTTGGAGGAGATTGATTGCTTCTTCCTCTTCGAAGTCATCCTCTTCACCATAGGTGTCTTCGTAGTGGACCGCAGTGCTAGGTTTTACCCCGGGGAGACTGCTTGGTTTTTGTATTTTGGCTGCGGATAAGTTGGATAGTTCAGTGGCTTGGGCTTCTTCGATGGCTTGCTTCAAGGTGAGGCCACCTTTAGCCAGCAGCCGTCATTGATGTTGAAGGTCTCTCACCCCACAGACGAGCTGGTCCAGCAGTATATTGTCTAGATGATCTCGGAAACCACAATGCAGGGCAGTTGAACGAAGAGCCACCATGTATTCACTTACAGACTCTCCTTCTGCTTGGCTTCTTTTCCTGAATGCATGGCGGTGGGTGATATGCGATGGTTTGGGGCATAGTGGTTACCAAGAACCTCTTGTAGTTCTTCCCAGGGGACAGCCTTGACCATCTGAGGAGACAGCAGCGCAGTGGCAGTGTCAAAAATGGTGGCCCCGCAGAAACTTAGGAAATATGCTTTCTTCCTGTTAGGAGGGATGTCAGAAAGGTTCGTGGCGTCCATGACACATTCAAACCTATTGATGCATGATGTCCACGTCTTGGAGGTTGGCCGAAAAGGTGGAAAATTTGGCGCCGCCGTCATCTCTTCGTTCAATAGTGACTGCTCTAGTGACAGCTCTTTTTGAAGTGACTTCAGCCATGTGGTGCTCTCTCTTTTGCCTCAGGAATTGTCTCAGTTCATCAGCATCCCATCTTCGTTGCCAATTTTATATTTGGTGTGCTCAGAAGAAGAGACAGAGGCAGTATAAAGCTCTAACAGGCTTTACTGTTAACTTGTAACTCAGCTGTGGCTAGCCGCGGCTCGCAGCAGCAGAGAGAGAGAGAGAGAGAGAGAGAGAGAGCTGATTCTGTTTGACAGCTCCTTTTATACCGGAGCTGTCAAATGGTCCAGCCAATCAGGGACTTTCCCAGCTCCCGCTTAAACAGCGGACTGGAGTGAGGACTTGCTGGTCGTAACACTAACCACTGCGCCACCATGGCTGTTAATAATTGGAATAATAGAAAAAGAAGTTTGTCCATAGTCCAAAATATGTTACCCAAAGGATTTGCATAGACATACTGTAGTTATTTACATGCACTGGGATATAATTTTTAAAATATTTCTTTGTTAAATTAAAGAGACATATTTTTGCTTTCTTACAATACAATTAAGAATGTGGTATAATATAAAATTTGAATTGAACTGAATATTTTATTTGGACAAGTGTGATTAGACACACAAGGAATTTGTATAAAGAAAAACATAGAGAAAAATAAAACATAGAGAAACGTTGGTATGAAAATTCTTAAAACTTTAAATTATAAAATAAAGAATTTTGAAAAAAATGTGTATAAAGCAACTTTATTAGAGCAGAAAAGTATTTTTTACTTTGTAGTGATTTTAAACTCAATAATTGGTTTTTCTTCCATGAATCAATTTTGCTTTTCACTGGCAAGCATAGTAAGAAGGGAAGTGCTTTGCACATGTTTGTTTCTCTAGATCCATGATATAAATATTTTTAATATATACATATACATAAAAGTTTCTAAGGTTGGGAAATTCTGTTAATTGATAAGCTGAATGCAAAGCGATATCAAATAACAGCCAGTCCAATGGACAATAAAAGCACAACTAGTAAGGGTACTAGTAAGTTGGACCTATTTTGAGAGGACACTCCTGATGTGGATATGTTTTGAGTGAGTATATTTCCGGAGTTGGATTTGTTGCTTGTGTTCTCCTCCATTACATATTTGATCCAGTCAGAATAGTAAGGCACTGAAGTGTAGACGCCAGGGAATGTTGTACTGGCACATCCAACGCCCCAGCTCACAATCCCAGCCTGAGTCCACCTTCCTTGAAGTTGGCAAGTCAAGGGGCCTCCAGAGTCACCCTACGGAAGAAAGATATAAACCAAGAAGGAGGGACATTGGTATGTATGTGAATGAGCTGAAACGAGATCCGAGTTCATTTACATTCTCAGTCACTTATTCCCGGCTTATCACATTCTCATTAATTTTAGCCATTACAATTAATCCTCATTTAGTAATTGCCTCATTTAGCAACCATTTGCAGTTACATAGATGAGGAAAAAGTAACATGGGACTAATGCCCCACCTTGGCAGCAATTCTGTCTCAGTCACACATTTGCCATTAAAATTAGTTAGATTGCTTTTGTCCTGTGCAAAATTGAAAGGACAATCAAGATCACATGAGTGACTGCTTCAGTTAACAATGGAATTGTTGGTACCAATTGAAATTGCTAAGCAAGCACTACCTGTATCTGCAATATTGGGGAAAACCCTTTAAGTTTGTTTTATTTAAAGTTATTGTAATTTCGATTGTTGAGGGCTCTTGTCAATTTCTAGTAACAGTACATGGACATAGACAGCCAGTTTGTTCTAGTGGGTTAAAGAACCAGGCCAGAAATCAGGAATGTGTAAGTTCTAGTTTCACCTTAGTCATGAAAAACAAGCTGGGTGATCCTTGGCCTATCACTGTATCTCAGCCCAACCCATCTCATATAGTTGTTATTGTGGGGAAAATAGGAGGAAGGAGGAAGATTGGATATATTTGCATCCTTGAGTTATTTACAAAAAGAAAAAAAAAGAATAAAGGCAAAATATAATTAAACAAGTAAATGGACTATCAAAATAATTCATAAATTGTATTATAATCTGTAAAGTTGCACTGTTCTATCATTGGTTTTATTGTTACTTTCTCTTTCGTTCCTCACAAAAAAAATAAAATAAAATAAAAACAATTGAATGAGCAAATTCTTTGTAACAATCTTAGACTGGAATACAAGTAAACATACATAGTTAAAGTACTGATAAAATGATAGCAGTATCAGAAATAAAATAATAAGAAACCAATTTATGGAGACTCTAAAAAACTTAAATAACACATTACATCAATCCAGTTGGATATACAAGAATGCAGTCCATCCTTGTAGCTGTGAAAGAAAATATCTGTAACCTGAGTCAGTTTTTGGATGGGCAAAACCTTTGAGAGAAGGAATGCTGAATTTAATTTTGGAAAATCTGTATCAATAATTGAGATTAGTCAGTGAGAATAGCTAAACTGCCAGAAATAATTTGTGAAAGTCTCTGAAAAGCTCTTTAGCTCCAGTCTGCTGCTTGATGATTGCTTTTGCCTACTCAGCTCTTAATTATTATTGATAGCTACTCAGATGAGAAGCCATTAGAGAACAATTAGTTTATAGTGTCCTTATCTTGCTTTGATCCATTATTGTCATGTTATATGAATGACAATAGCCCAGTTGGAGCTATGTCACCCTTTATCCAAGAAGTAAAGAGGCAACTAAAATCAACTATTGAACACTGAGCTGAACACCTATACAGATCAAAGCAAACTATTAGGAAAGGCTGTTAATGCAGCCAATAGATGAAAATCTGATTTGAATAAAGGTGCTTTATGAAGGATGCTTTTAGGTTTTTTTGAAAAGTGGGCAAAGATGTCAGGAGTTTCACTTCAACAACACAGACAACACTTGGGTGCTAACAGAGAATGCTCAGCCCCAATTCACTAAAAAGAGAAACCCACAATAATGGTCAGTGATCCATCTCAAATATCTCAATGAGAAAGGGGCAGGCATCATACAGAAAAAATGATCTCTCAGTAGTGTCTATCATTCATAGTGTTACTAAGCTCAAATCATCATAAAAAGTATAACTATAATGCCATGATAATATGTTTTCCATACATCCTCATGTTACAGAAGAAAAGAGGTAATTGAATTTAACCCCCTGGATGTAAGAAATTTAAAAAAAAACATATGGAACCTCTTACCTGGCAGGAATCTTTTCCACTGTTTGGATAACCTGCACAAATCATATCATCCTTGATAGCATCCTTGCCAAAAACTGGAAAGCTGTTGTAGATCCCACTGCAGATGTTTTGGTTTATGAGAGGCACTTTCACTTCCTGGAGGGTTAGTGGCAATGGCAAGGGGACTGTGGGAGAGAGGAAGGCATTACAGTAATGAACAAAAAAGCAGTCTGGAATCATTCCAATTAGATATGTATCATTTTAGCAATGGATATACCATGTAAATAAATACAGGGCTACATTTGCTCAGCAGCTTATGGTAAAGAAATATGCATTGCATTTTTGAGAGCCCAAGCATGTAATGATTGGGTTCTGACTGTTTTACTCCATCAAGATCTTTATTAAGTTCTGGTTTAATGCTGTGGGCAAACCTACTCAATAATTGAGTAGTGACTTACTATTGTGAATTGTGATTTACTATTTTGGTTACTGTACAGTGGTGGGATTCAAATTTTTTTTACTACCGGTTCTGTGGGCGTGGCCTGGTGGGTGTGATAGGGGAAGGATATTGTAAAATCTCCAATCAGAGTTGGTATTTGCCGGTTCTCTGAACTCCTCAAAATTTCCACTACCGGTTCTCCAGAACTTGTCAGAACCTGCTGAATACCATCTCTGTATTGTACCTTTCCCAGGATTGTACCTCATAACATGAAGAGATAATACCCATAAATTACTGATGTAACAAATTAGGATGTAAATATGTAATGGTGACACGTGAATTATGATGCCACCATACAGAAGCTACAGCTTTGATCTGGATGTCAGTGGTTGTACCACAAATATGTGGCCACAAAGTGCCATTTTTCACAAAACAACAAAAGTGCATAAAGTATCCAATTTGTTTAACATTCTTGTTCTAGTAACTTAGTCAAATTCCAGCTTATACAGGTAAAATATATTGTCTGAGTTTCTTCTTAGGACATCTATGAACTACCAATTCACACCTGGGAGATTAACTAACAACAATGATAGCCTAAAGAAATTAATCCATGATCAAAATGAAAAAGAATTAGAAGGAAAGGAAGAATATACTTCTGTTCAGTGGTGGGATTCAAATTTTTTACTACCAGTTCTGTGGGCGTGGTTTGGTGGGCATGGCAGGGTAAGGATACTGTAAAATCTCCAGTCAGAGTTAGTATTTGCCGGTTCTCTGAACTTCTCAAAATTTCCGCTACCAGTTCCCCAGAACTGGTAAGAACCTGCTGAATAGCACCTCTGCTTCAGTTCCATATTATGTTTTTTTTCTTTTCACATTTTAATGACTTATTCTAAGCAAATATTTTGCTAATCAGACTGTAGATTCCTTTTATATGTCTCACCTTCATATTTAATTGTTCCCCATCCAGTGACCCAACAATCTGTTTCTGTAGAGAAATTTTCAGAGGATGTCGGCAAACAGATGGGCATAATGGAGTTAGTGAAATCCACTGGTTTTTCCAGTTGAATTAAAGCAATATCTCCAAGAGAGGGGGGTTTCCCATTAAAGTCTGGGTGGAGGATAATTTTTTTCATCATCACAAATACTACATCAGTTGAGAGCTTGTGGAGCTGATGGGCGCCCAGCAGTGCCACATATGCATCATCAGGTGAACTGCTATAAACACAAAAGCAAACAAATAGTTATATTTCTGGAATTGCTTGGCTAAAATTGGCTAAATTTAAGTTGGCTTGGTTTATATAACATGATTCAACATAAATCATGGGTTGAAAATTACTTGCTCTTTCTTTCTTTCTTTTTTCACCCTTCCTCTTCCTCTTTTCTTCCTATTCTCTTTCTTTCTTTCTTTCTTTCTTTCTTTCTTTCTTTCTTTCTTTCTTTCTTTCTTCCTCCCTCCCTTCCTTCCTTCCTTTATTCTTCCCTCCCTCCCTCCCATCTTCTGTCTGTCTCTGTCCTTCCTTCCTTCCTTCCTTCCTTCCTTCCTTCCTTCCTTCCTTCCTTCCTTCCTTCCTTCCTTCCTTCCTTCCTTCCTTCCTTCCTTCCCCCCCCTCTCTTTCTCTCCCTCCTTTGTTTCTTGCCCTTCCTCCCTTCCTCCCTCCCTTCCTCCCTCCCTCCCCCCCCTCTCACACACACACCTGGTTTGACTGGGATGGTGTGAGAAGGCAGAAATTGAGTGGCTAGGTGGCGGGGGCGGCAGCACTGCTATGGGAGGCAGCCCTGGGAGTCTCCACCCTCCTTTCTGGAGCACTTCTTACCGTGGCATCGGACAAACATTCCTCCTGCATGGAGTCAGCTTCTGCACAGCCCTGTCTCCCCAGAAGAGCAGTAAGAAGCCTGCTTGGGTGGGGAGGAAGGAAAGCCCCGGCCCACCTGTTCTAGCTGGCAGCTCTGCTCCCCTTGCTCTTCCAGGTTCTGGCATACTGGCTAGCTTGGACATGGGGCAATTGATGCCTCGCCAGCAAACGCTGCCCCACCAGCTGCTCCTGCCACTACTGGGAGGGAAAAGGCAACAGCAGTTCTCACCTGTCTCTTGCTGCTGCTCTTTTAGAGAGGCAGGGCTGCATGTGTGAATTACTGCTGCCCTCTCATCTGCAATGGTGGCAGGAGCAGCGGGCAGGGCAAGGTCAGTGTTTGCTGGCAGGCTGGCCGGCACACCAGAACCTGGAAGAGAGCAAGGGGAACAGAGGTGCTGGCACGCAGGTCCACTCCATTGAGCCTGCTGCACCAGAGGGATTTGCCCACGTGCCTTCTCCTCTGTGCACATGTGAGGTTCTGGGACTTTCTGATAGGAGACGGCGTGTCTTGGTTCTGGCTAGCAAAGAGGCATCAGCTGGGAGACTTCTTGCACCAAAAAAGAGAGGCAGTGGCTGCAGGCATCTCACGACAAGTGGGGGGCGGGATGTGGGCTGGTGCGGAGCCCAGTAGCTCTCAGCCCTGGCTTGCCTTCCCTAGCAGCCAGCCGCTGGAGGAAGGTAAGGTTGCAGCCACAAACGATAAAAGAGGAGGTTGTAGGGGAGGAAGCGAGAAGATTAAGGGTGACTGGGTTGGGGGCGTAGCCAGCCAGAAGTCGCCAAATTCTTACTACTGGTTCACCTGATCCGGTGCAAACCAGCTGAATACCACCTCTGGATCTGTCCCCCTTTCTGTCGTACTCTCCTCCTGGATTCCATTCCCACCCTGCCAGCCCTGTGTTAGCAAGGTTGGTGTCAGCCACGGCTGGGTTAGGCCAGTGCCTTGGAGAGCTGGTTGTGTGACCTGGTCAACAGGGAGCTGCAGAAGAGGGGTCAAAGAGCTGCACACAGCTCCAGAGCCTTGGGTTGCCAACACCCACCCTATGCCATTTCAGATAAATGGTTGCCCAATTTCTTCTTAAAAACATCACAACTTATGGAGGCAAGTCATTTCACTGGTTAATTGTTCTCACTGCCAGGAAATTTATCCTTAGTTCTGGGTTGGTTATCTCCTTAATTAGTTTCCATCCATTACTTCTTGTCCTCCCCTCAGGACAATTTGGTCCAATGCCTGGGGCGAGAGCCAGGTCTTCAATTTGACTTATTTCTTGCTCCTCACATAGACACCATGGGGATGATCCTTCAAATAAAGGATCAAATGAATTTGAAACTGCAAAAACAATGTTTCTTGGGACTGGAGTCTCCCTCCTAATTCTCATTCTTTTATTTTTTGAGAACTTGTACCCAGGTGTTACTTCTTTATTAGTGTTCTGTCCTACAGCAATTGTAATTAGTTCTCAAGTCCTTTCCTGAAAGGGCTTATTGAATCTGTGAAAAACACCCAATTTTGTATCAGAAAGAAAGCCAAACAAAACAAATGTATAAAATGTTAGGGCTACTGTCCTCTACAGCCACATTTGGATGACCATCAGATAGCAGCAAGGAGGTAGTTTGGGGTATTGGATGTTTGCAGCCTAGATTTGGTAGCCCTAAAAGAGTTTTCTTTGCAGAAAATCATGTGATTTAGCAAGACCGGGGGTGGGGGGGGATAGTGATAGTGGGGAAGCTCCTTGGCTGGAGTGGGGATGCTCTTGCCTCATTCCCTTTTGAAGACATCTGTTACTTATGTATACAAAAACTTGCCCTCCAAATTGAGTAATAGTTCACAAAAGTCACACTGTACTCAAATGGAGAGGCAAGTCAAGGATCATCTCCTTACTTTTGCCAATGGTCAATCACACTCATTTTATCTAAATCACATAGACCAGGAGTCTGTAACCCCCTAACACTCAAAGAGCCACTTGGACCTGTTTCCCACAGAAAAGAAAACACCAGGAGCCAATAATTTAACAACTGGTATGACTGGCTGGGCATGTCCAACTTGACGTCAGTCACTCCCACCCAGTCACATAACCCCCCAGACATGCCTATCTAGCCAGTCATTAGTGCAGAGGTTATTAAATTATTTTCTCCGCTGGCCCCACCTCACCCCCTCCCCTCCCAGCCACCTCTTGCCACACCTGGCCTCGGGTGTATTATTCACCTCTCTCTCTCTCTCTCTCTCTCTCTCTCTCTCTCTCTCTCTCCCTCCCTCTCTCTCTCTTTCGTGCATGTGCATGCATACACTCTCTCTGTCCCTCCTCCCCCCTCTCTCCATACATCTCTCTCCCTCTCGCTCTCTATTTCTCTCTCTCTTTTTCTCTCTGTGTGTCTCTCTATGTATATCTCTGTCTGTCTGTCTGTCTCTATCTCTCTGTATGTATGCCTGCAACAACTCCAAGTCCGAAGCAGCTTACAGCTCTGAGCCTGAAGCGGCAGGAGGCGAGGGTTGCGTTGAGAGCAAATATACTGCGACGAAGATGGAATGCTGTTGCTGCGCAAAGGCATGTACAGGGGTGCTTTGCTCCCACTCTGGTATATGGAGAGAGTCTCTATCCCCCGCTGTCACCCTTACCTTCTCAGACCAGGTGAGGAGTTACTGGGAGGGGAAGGATGGGGCCAGCCAGTGGTGGGATCAGCTGACAAGAGCTGCAACAGAGGGCTGAAAGAGCCAGAGGTTGCAGACCCCTGGCATTGACAAACCCAGGGCTGCACCTAAAAACTTAGTTGTAGCCTCTACAAACCATAAAAAAGTAACCAAAGTGTAAATTTAAATGTGAGATAGGTTAGCTTAATACTATCAAATTTAACTGAACTTAACTGAAGAAGCCTTTTGGGTGAGAAGTGAAACGTATTCAAGGAAAAAGCAAAATAAAGTCCAGTTTCTCTTGAAAAAGGAACTTTGCTGAGAATCTCCAGACACTTATCAAATTTAAGCTCAGTTTTATTTATTTTTCCTACTTGACATATTTCTTTTGAATTTAGTCTGATATTTGCATGCCATAGCAAATAATGACATTTGGCTGACCTTATTTGAGCTTAGTGATTAAGTAGGCCAAAGCCTGGTTAATAGTTGAAACATCAGAAAAGATTATTATTTATTTATAAAAAATTGGCTGTCCATTTTACCACTGGGTAACTCTGGGTGGCTTGCAATCATAAAACATAACAATTGTATATACTAAAAACATAACTAAATTAATACAAAACCAAATACTATGGTACTTAAACATTAGCTAAGCAGTCAAAAAATATCATGCCTCAAGGCTATGTATTGCTTAAATGGCTTATTGGTTATGTAATGTTTTACCCCTAGTATTTTTTAAAGGGCTCTTTACCACTTCTGGGAGTAAAAGACAAGACCTCACAATCCTCACTTTTTCTAAAGCCTTAGGCATAAAAGCCAACTGAGTGACTCTCTCTTAGTCCAACTCACCTTGATATGTTCGCTGCCTTGACTTATGTACAGTATAAATATAATAAAGGTGATGCATTTGACTTTAGAACTGTACAATGTTTATCAGCAACAAAATCATATTAGGTCATGAAAGCATTTTTTCCAGTTTTACAAAAGTTACTATATACTGATGGTTTTCAATGTCTGTGGAGATTCTCAATCATCCAGGTCATGGTGCTTTTTTCAAAAGGCAATTGGATTTTATTTTTCCTTAAAGATGTTACACTTCTCATCCAAGAAGCTTCTGAAGAAAGAACCATCTTCAAGCAAAAACAAAGTCCAGTTGCCTTTTGAAAAAGCACCTTTGGGATAGTCTTCAGTTTGCAACCATTCCTTTTAAGCACTATAAAAATAACTTATAGCTAGTTTTCACACTTGCAACCATTGAGCCTCCCAACACAATTACCTATTTGCAATTTAGGTGCTTGTGAGCTTCCCATCTGGCTTCTGATAAAGTGTATGAGGGAAGCCAAATTCACTTAACAATCATGTGATTCCCTTAACTGCAGTGGTTTGCTTCTCAACCATGTCAAAATGGGTCATAAAATAGAAGTGACGACTCACTTAATGCTTGCCTTGCTTCAATAGTGGGATTCAAATAATTTAACAATTGGTTTTCTGACCTAATGACCAGCTTGGTAGGCGTGGCTGGGTAGTCACATGACTGGGTGGGTGTGGCCAACTCAATGCCACTCCCATCAAGGGGTACTTCGCCTTGCCTGGCCTCTCCTGACCGTGGGGATGCTGCAATGATTGTAAGTGTGAAAAATGGTCATAAGTCACTTTTTTTTATTTTAACTTTGAATGGTCACTAAATGAACTGTTGTAAGTCAAGAGTTACCTGTATAAAAATACCAAAAGCGTTTTTGCTTGCAAAAAGTTGCCCTATATACCAAACATTCGATTAGAAATGGGGGAATACATCCTGAAGATCAATGATAGCCACAGCTGTCATGGAAAACTAAACCATTCTGTCTGAATACCTTCCTTTTCATCAGCAATATCTGTAAGCTGGAGTTACAAATCAGGCAGGATGCCAGAGCACCTGAAGGAATTAAAATAGTTAAAATGTAATGACAATTATCAACAGCCAACTCTTGCTCATAAAGTGAAACCCTTTAGCAGAGAGGTCATTTAAGCTCTCCAGAAAGTGGGTGGGCACACTTGGGCTACAAATGCTGAGATAAAGAAACAAATTACCAAAGTATATAAGGGGACCCAAGTTTTTCAGGATCACAGTAAAAATTAGTACATGCCACAGATATCTAAATAAACTTCAAGCCCGGTGCCATGTTACTAAGTCTTATAGAGAAAACTAAAATGAATTGGAGGATCCACACCCCTATCTCCTTTAAAAAACAACAACATTACTATTGGTGAGCAATCATGTGCCTTGGCCACTCCGAAGCAATGCAAGAGACTCCTGTCCTAAAGGTGCTTTTTCAAGAGGCAACTGGACTTTCTGGAAACCAAGGAAGTTTAGTTGCCTCTTGAAAAATAACATCTTTGTGACAACTATGACCTGGATGACTGAAGAATCCCCATAGACAAGACTCTTGTGCTCAGTGAACTGACAGAGCACGCTTTCCCACCCAAGAGAAGCAATTCTTAGATCCATTTGCACCACTTAGATACCACCTGGTCTCACTCACCTCACAAGATATCCTAAGGAAATCATCCAGATTTAAGGAAATGTCACATGCCCCCAGAAAGGCAGTAAAAAAAATCAGACAGAGTGCCAAGCTTGCATCCTGCCTCTTGGAAGTACACCCCAAAAGGACAGTGCCCGGAACCACTAAAGTGGTGTAAAAAGCGTAAAACAACTCTTCCCCTTTAAAAAAGTCAAGTCCCTTCAGAGAAGCAGCTCCAGCTAGTCTGGGTGTACTGCCAAGGACCAACTGCTATTACAGTGTAACAAGGCTTAACCAGAGAAGCGGTTTCTGAAAACACTTAAAGATAAACAGTATTAAGCTAGAAACAGAATGTTTCCTTCCTGTAAGAATTAGCCTTTTAAAGTGGGAAAAACAAAAGGCTTTTGGAAGCAGATTTCTTCCAACAACTGGTTCACTGAACTGCTCAGAAAGTTAACAAATAGTACAAACCAGCTGAATTCCACCTTGCTTAGCAACAAAAATTCTGATCCTAATTGTAGTCATACTTTCTATCCCACTGAACAAATGACAAGTTACTTTTGCCTGCCTGCTTCCTGACTCACTAATTAGTTTGTCTCTTTTCTCCCATCTCTAACATGGCACTGCTGAAACTGTAGCTGACCAGTGGGCAGCTTTACACACACAATATCTGATACTTACTTATAGAAGCAATGAGCTGCTGATAGTATCCATTGTTCATTTATAATTGAGGCTCCACAATAATGTCGCCCATTCCGAACAATGCTGACTTGCCAGGGCCATTTTCCTGGAGTGGCATCCTGACCTCCAACAATTCGCGAGTTTCTAGGCTGTCCACATTCTATACGGAGAAGAGAAGAAACGTCAGGCTTCTTAGTGACCTTTTGCTATGTTCAGCAAAATGGATCTCATAGGCTTGAATCACATACCTCATGAAACATCCATCATCTGAACCAGACAGATGGAATATAAAAGTTCTGTTCAGATAATATGCCATGTCAAAGTAATTAGACAAATATGTCATTGTTTTGGTTAAGTCAAGTAAGACCACAAATGATTTCCCACACAAAACAGATTGATAAGCATTTGATCCCAATTTTGCAGTGTATCAGAAATCAACATTTAATTTTTTTGTTAATATACTGTATGTGCATAAAGTCTGACACTTTAAATAGTCATTTATCCTGCATTTAGGATGGGATGGAGAACCTCAATCCATGAGTTTCCTTCACTCTGCTAGAACTGATCTTTTGAGACTCAGGACACTAGTGAGCTTGTTCTTCTGAACTTTCTTTCCATCTTTTCAGTCTTTCTATCTGGCAAGTTTCTCAGTTAGCATATCTGCCAACATTATTTTTTCAGCTTCCTGAGCTTACTCCCAAAAGAAAAATTATACATAGTAATCAGGATCTCTAGAACTTTTCTACAGGTATTTCAGTTAAATATTTACTATGATGTTTTTACTCAACTGATTCATGCTTTCCCCAAAGGAGAAAAATACGGCGATTGAGATAATTTAGAAAATTTTGACAATTTGACAATTCCAGAGCACAACTGGAATGCCTACAAGGGGGTCAATCAAATCTTTATTAAGTGAAATACAAACAATTAATAATTTTAGGAGCTAAAAATGTAAAATACACAAGGTTAAATACATAAAAACAAAAACAAAAGTTAGTGTGTGGCTAACTAATCTGTCACTTTAACTACTTGTTAAGGCAGGCTTAAGACAAGTCTACTGGAAGCTTCCTTGAGAATATTATTTATTAGATAAGTTCAGAGACATCATATCAAATAAACATTGGATAGTGCTTTTGGAATGATTGGATTGATCACTTGTCACACTTAGATTGACATGCATTAGATTGACATGCAAATAGGTCTTAGGTCTATATAAGTTTATATTTGATCTTGATCCCCAATAGCTATCAAGAATGGATAACTTTTTGACTTTTGGTCAACTTTGACCTTCTCTTGTGAGATCCTAGAAAATTTTTGCATTCTCATGTGGAATCTTAAGAGTTTTTCTACAAAATCCCTGATTCTCTGTACTGTGAAATTCCATGCATGGTCACTGAAAATCTCAAGATATGTTGCAGTCTCACCAAATTTTGGTAATTTTGATATATTAAATTTATGGGCGACTATGCATACTATATTTAGTGAATTTCTGCTTTTTGGACTGGTATGCTGAGATCTGTAATGGGAACAGATGGGGCAATACTCACTTTCCATTCTCCACTTGTTCCATTCAGATTTTGGTTAGTGTGAAACCTCAAATAACTAAAGTATTTTGGATTTGTTTTTTTCTGAATCATAGTTGCCTTGAATCAGTTTTGGTAGTATCTCCATAACATAAGAGTTTATTCCAGGACTCAAAACTTCCCAGAATCACTCAGAATGGATGGACAGCTATATAAATTCCCTAAATAATAAATAAATAAAAAACAAGAAATGCTCCCATTTTATATATACCTGCTATATATGTATATATGCATTTAGGACATTATTGTCATCCCATGGTGATTAAATGGTGTTGTTAGTTCAATTTCAAATAAGTACATATAGGATTAAAGTGAGAGTACATTTTAATTTCACTCTCAAACAGAAGATGTCCTTTTTTTCACTGGGCAATAACTCAGATTGTCATAGAAGTAAAAAGGAAAATCTTATTTCTTTTAGTTCTTATTTAAACATTCCCATGTCCAGAACTCCCCCCACCCATCTTAAAAATAAAACTTTCAAACACAATTAGAACTTTAAGATGCATAGACAAGTCCCAGAATGGACTAGTCAGCCAAGCAATCAAGGATACTTGGTTGAAGGTTAGATGGATCTGTGTTGTGGTGCTAAGGGGAGGGTTAAGAATTCTCGTTTAAATTTGTCCTGAAATTATTTGCTTCCTTGCACCAGTGCTCAAAATTTGCATTGCCAATCTGTTCCCACCCACTTCCATTTTTAACCCCCAAACTGTAGAAAGATAGCTTTTCTAATGCTGATCTTGATTTCTGCTCATTCCATAGATATTCCATATAATTCAGTACAAATTAAAATGGAAAATATTCAGAACCCTCTGTTGCCTGGAAACTTGAAAGAAACAGGTATCCTCACCAAGTAGATGACTTGTCCCACTTGTATTTTCACTCTGCCCATTATGAACTTTAAGCCTTCAGAGAAAACAGTGGCTATCCAAAAACACATACCTTGAGCTATTGAAACATTTTAGCATGCAGAATGTTTTGCAATATAAAATAAGGACTTCAATCAAACCTCATATTGGAAATACTGATTATTTCCTCTTCTGTTCTGATATTTGCAAACCTGCCTTAAATCAGGCTTAGTAACATTAGAGTTAATAGATGTGGACTGCAAAAATTTGGACAAACTACAAGATGGCAGCAAAAAGACACAGTAAACTCTTTGCTGCCATCTACTGTTTTTTTTAGATCTGGTAGCCCTAACCAATATGCTGTACATTTTCCTTCTCAGTGGCTTAGCTATTTCTCTCAAGCTTTCAATACACTGAAAGCCTTTTAGTTGTATTTGGCCAACCAGCACCTGTGAGGAAAAAAAAAAGGATATTTCAGGTTAGAAGGAACATGGAAGAGGAACACAGCAATATAGAATTGTCAACAGGAGCAGAGACAAGGATTCTAGCTAATTCAGACTTGATTCAGAGGATCATATTTTAGTTTTAGTTGGGACTAGGCAACTCATTATTTCAGTGGTATTTCTTTCCCAGATTCCTAAATGCCTTCAACAATAGCAGAGCTACTAATATACTTAAAAAGTTCTTGAAAATTCAGGGAAATACTCAGAGATTATCTGACTTGTATGTACTCCATGTATAATTTAGTCAAACAGCAGGTAACAGGAAAATGTTTGATTACATTTTTTATTATGTCATAACAATATTTAATAATAATTTTTATATCATTTAAATGTTTTACAGAATTTGCCAAATTTCAGTTACGGGTTCCAGCTTTTGGACATATTCTGTAAGTTAGCTCATTGAAGTAGTTCAACCTGGGTTCAAAAACCGTTGCCCTAACATGCACTGTTTTGCCCAGGTAAAGGTTGCACACAGACAGACAGGAAAGATTTAGCATTATTACATGAATTTCAGGAAGTTCTGTCTACCATCAATTGTCAAGAACCAAGAAGATTGGATACAAAGTTATAACATTCCTTGTTCTTTGGTGGGATTCAAATTTTTTTACTACTGATTCTGTGTGTGTGGCTTGGTGGGCATGGTGTGGCTTGGTGGGCATGACAGGGGAAAGATACTGTAAAATCTCCATTCCCTCCCCATTCCTGGGGGAAGGTTATGCCAGTTCTCCAAACTATTCTAAATTTCCATTACCGGTTCTTCAGAACTGGTCAGAACCTGCTGAATATCACCTCTGTCCTTGTTTCTCCCTAAGTGATACCTTTTACATAAAGGCTCGGTTCTTAATCCCCTTCTCTTTTCCTTCTTTCTCCTTGTCCTTCCTCTGCCTGATTGTACAAATTATGATTGTACAAATGCGGGATTTTCAGTCCCCCTTTTTGTTCTCCCTCCTTTTATTGAACTCCTAACTCCCCAAACAAAAGTGGATGTGCCAGTATCCTCACATGGCTTATCCAAAACATACACTATCTTAGGCTATTGACCAGGCAATTGGTAGGACAAGTTTAATATAGCTTATAATATATAGCATAATAATATAGCATAATAGAACATATATTATAATTAATGTAATTAATATATTAATAGAGCATAATAGAACATATATTAATTTTGTTCTTATCCCTAAAGACCACATTGTGCATGAATGTCCAGGAATGTCCAGAATATTCCCTTAATACTATTTGCCACTAAATACCAATTCTACAGTGATTGCTTTTTCCTTTAGTGCCATTTCTTTCATTGAGACCTTTGCATTTATTTTCCTTTTTGTTGCTTTTCTCTCAATGCAGATTATTACTTTAAAAACACATTCTTCTCTGAATACTTTCCCCTCTGTTTTGTCAATGCCCAAAGTTAGAGATCATGGTTTCTCAGTTTCTAGCATGGTTCCTTAACTACTACTGGCTTCTTACATTATATAATCTATTAATAAAATACAACCATTTTTTTGACATGTGAGTGGTCACCATTTTTGAGATTTATATTTGCAGTGAGAAATAGAATTTCTAATGACACTTTTGGGAAAAGATCTTGCTTGCAGAATCCCTTCTGGATGGCCCCCGTCTAACAATCTTTATCTACAGCATTCTCAAAATATACTAAGGAAGTTTTCCATTTTTAACAAAATAGGTATGTTAGTATAACAAGACTTATTTTTGAAAAGCTCCTGTTGATATCCAATAATCACTGGATTGTGTTCATGGTGCTTGGAAAAAATATTTTTATGATCTGGTTCGGGTATTGATGTTCATTTGATGTATGGTGCTTCATGGACTCTTATTTTTCCCAGAATTTTGAACATAGGAACAATATTTACATTTCCCTTGTTCTCTAGGACTTCTAAAAAACAATACAGAAAGTAATCTTCTTTATCAGCATGGGAGCTCAAAAAGGTTAGCCACCACTGATATAGGGTTTCCTGCCTGAACAAGGTATTGGATTATAAGACTTCAAAGGTCCCTTCAAACCCTCTTATTCTGTTATAGATTGCATGCCCATGTTTCTACACATTTCAACCTCACATCTTCATGCTATTGACCTGATGGAAAGCACATTCTCTTCTCACAGAGGTGGAAGTAAACAGTGGAGAACGTGCAATCCAAAAAGACGAGAGTCCCTCCATAACAACCTTAAAACTTGCAAGATGAAGAGAATATTTATTTAACAATCTTGAAAGCTGCAGACAAAGAGCTGTCCTAAAGTTCAAAATTAAAAAAATAAGAGATTTCTTTGCTCACCTTAATTTATAACACCATTGTAAAGATCTCAAAGTAAGCCCATCCAGCTTGCAGAACTGATTTCCAGCTATCATGGGGAGAAGAATTTGGATGAAGAGATATTAAACATTGAATACCCAAACCTCCCCCTCATTCACCTTGTGCTGTAGACAGATACAATAGACAGAGTCCCAGCAAGATGGATCGAAAGCCCATGGTTGCCATTTCTTTGCCTTTTTTCTTCTAATGTGTTGCCTGAGTAGTTGGGCTCTAGGCAGTTTCAAACAAAACAGCTTGAGTCCACTCTTGGCATTTGTGCCACAAACTTTAATACCAACAGTGAAAGGGTGGAGCATAGGGCATTTCCTCCTTGCTGAATTGGAGAATGCAACTAAAAGTTCTCATTTCCAGAAGTCTCTCGGCTTTAGAAATTCCCAAATCAACATCCTTGCCCACTCTCTTTTGTGATCTCCCCTATCTCCTCCCAGCTGCCCTAATCTTAGTACAACCATCAGTCATTCAGGTAGAGTTCCCTATTTTCACAATAGCAGAAAATATTTCATAGATCTAATATGAAGGATAGGAAATTTCTTTAATTGTGGCAGCTCTGCTTTGTTATACAGCACAAGCCACACAAAGGGACACTGTCAGTTAAAGAGATTTTGCCAGCAGATGATCTCAGCTGAATCATTAAAACTGAATGTTTTTGCAATGGATGCAAAAGAGTTTCAAAAGTCACAGTCACTTGATGCTAATTGGAAATGCTTTTCTAGTGTGGACCTTGGCAACCTCTAGTGACTCTAATACTTAGGGATATCTTTCCCTCTATTCTTGCCATTAGCTATGTTGTGTCTAAGTGACACTTTATTATCTGATCTTATTCTCAAACCAGAGCTGAAATCATACAGAGCAGTTGGTGGAACAATTCCACTGTCTTTTGTTGCCCTTACTGCAGGATTTCTTACCAAACATAAAAATAATTTCCTTCTTTTTGAATTTGTGGATACATCCTACATGTTCTGCATCCCTGAATCCTATTACTGAATCCTCAGTAACATCCCAAATCCAGATTTTTTCTCCTGTCTAATTACAAAGTCAAACTTCAAGTAAGGTTTGGGTGATTTTAAAAAAAGTTAAAAATATTAAAAGATGTCAAAGTAATGAAACATCAATATTCATGGATGATTTCTAAAGAACAAAAAGAAAATAAACCAAGCACTTCTGCTTAGAGGAATGCACTACCTAAAAATCAGCACAGGTAGGACATGAAAGTGGTCTGGGAACAGAAATGGAAATAACTTTGAAAGAGGTTGTGACATGTTTCTTAGTTACTGAAGAAGTAGGAGCTT